TAGCTATCCGGTTACAGTTACCATAGCAACCGACAAACTAAAGAGAGAGCGGGGGGGATTTTTAATCTAAAGCTACCGGTGGCTAGTTTATGGCTTGAAAGTAAGTTAATGTGTGTGTTTAATTAAGTAGACAGTACATTAATACATATATAGCCGTTATCTGCGAGCGAAAAGACACACGGGTAAAAGACGAGCGGCGAAAGCGTCAATTACGAATCGCATTTTCGGTCCTTCGAGGTTTTTTTTTTTACCCTGCGAGACACCGTATCAGTTGACATGTCACCTGACTGAAACAAATTCATGTTGCTTTTCTCTGCTGTGCTAATCGTAAATACTTCAGTTTACAGACATAAGTGACTTTTATTCAAATCGTTTAATAGACGTTGTCAGCAGAGGACATGCGTAGTATCGTCCCCGGGAATGATCTGTGGCTAACGCGGCTGAATTATTAAATTAATGGTGAGTAAGGTTACTTTACTGTAGTTAACACTTAGCTGGGATATAATGAGGGCCACAATACGATGCACACACTGTGACTCTAAGTGTTAAGGTTGCCTGCGTATCTCTCTTTTGAGTTGTATGATGTGAAGTAATACACTTTGCTTTGCAGCTCTTCTGTTGTCTCATCCGCATTGTGACTGCTTGGAGAACACAAACATGCCTCAGTCAGCGAGTATCATCAGTGGGATCCAGAAGATGGTTCTGTATGAAACCAGAGCCGTAAGTCTGCCAGGAGATCTGTGCTGTTACTGCCACTGTCTCATCACGGCTTCACACACTTCTATTCATACCTGCAAGTAGTCAAAAAAAAAAACCTCTTTAAATTACACCTCCATCATGTTGAAGCTGAGGCTTTCTGGTAAATATTAGTAACTTACATACTACAGAGACAAAGTGCTGAATTAAAAGAACATGGTGAGGGAAAAGCATGTTTTTTTTTAATATACTTTTATGATCAAAGTGAACTGAGCACACCAGCTATGCATGTGACAGCACATGAACAACCACAGTCTTTTCCCAGCTCTGATGGAAGTGCCTTGCTAATGACACTGTGGCACAAATATTTATTCAGGATAGACAATATTCAGGACAGATTGTCCCAGCCAGTCTGGGTGTTCACATTTGCTGACATTCACCAATCTGTCTCTAACAGCCAAAATCCCAATCCTATCATTTATTTTAAGGATGTATTGCTCCTGTTGAAATGGACTCTATTCTTAATCGCACTGATGTTAAGAAAACTATGCTCAATATATGATTTTGAAATCTAAAAAAATTCCCAGATGTAAACATGAGGGTAGAGAAGGGTGGAGAGCGCCTGTAGGATTGTGATTACTTGTCGACAAACACTAGATGGCAGCAAAATATAGTTTGTGATGATTTGCTTACTCCTGGTATACTCCTGTCTACTGGCTGCTTACTTACAGGGGTTTGACTAGACAGTCAGAATAATTACATTTTGTCAGACAAAATTGCCTGTAATATATTAACATATATTTACATTTGGTATAGATATGTACGTATTTCAGGAACACATTTGTCGCAGTTTAGTTATCATAATCTCTGACTGTCTGTCAGTGGTGGGTAGAACGCTGAAAATCTTTACTTAAGGAAAAAGTGTGATTTCTCCCATAAAACCCAAAAGAAACAGTGCAAATGAGAGAAAAAAGGCTACTTTCTGCACAAGGAGATAATTCTGTTAATATATCAGAATCAATCCAGTGATCAGTGTGTTTATACAGTGTGTAGCCTACATTTGTTCTACATAGACTAAATCAAATTTAATACGCCATTAATGGAAAGTGAAAGTATGTCCGCCAACTTGTAAAAATGGCGATGCAGGCTGCTTTCTAGCACGGCCACCAGCGACATAGTGGCACAACCACACGTCTCTTCGTACTATAGTGAAACTAGATAAAGCTCTCCTGCATAACCACATACACTCACATTACAGCTTATTTTGGTCAATGTAGCAAAATGACTAAAACAACAAAGGCATAAATGGCAAGTGTAGTGAAGTTAAAGGTAGATTACTGGTCAAAAAAATAATACTCAAGTAAAAAGTTAAAGTACAGTGTTATAAAAGACATGAAAAGTAACTGTAAAAATACCTTTTTACTCATTTAAGTTACTTGTAGCGGGTTACCTCTGCTGTCAATCCATTTTACTGAACAGTGGGATAAACTGACTGTCTCACTATTGTGGACAAAGACGGCTTCATCGGATATGTGGACGTGTGGAACAGGACAAAATGGCTCTAATGGTTGCGGACTGTACTGATACATGGTGTTCCAGTTTGACGCTCTTTAATGGACAGAAAATCTTAACCATCTTGCAACCCAGTGTGAGAGAAATAATGACTGCAAGAGAAAAGACACAGATCTTAACAAAAAACACATTATAATGTAGCCTTGTGATCAAATATATGGTGTGCCCACATGTGCCACATGCACCGTGGTACATGACAAGTTGTCCTACTGTGTTCTCTTGAAACTGGCTACAGAGACTGAATCTGCCCGAATGTCATCCATGAGAAAGCTCCCTGTGTTGACGAGGCCACAAAATATTATGCAATCACACAAGTAAAAGTGCATTCATGCTTTTCGGGTATTGTTTCTTTCCAGAGGTATTTTTTGGTTGGGACCAATCAGGCACAGACCAAACACAGGGTCCTGAAGATTGACCGCACAGAACCCAAGGACCTGGTCATAATTGATGATAAGGTAAGCGCAGAGTTTCCACCAGAGTTAGTACAGTGGTAATGTATATGCTTATGTAATACAGTACAGCACGCTTGGGCTAAAATTGTTCAATCACTCAGCCTGTCCCCAGTGTATTGTGGATGACAGCTTAGCTGATGAGTGTTGAGCGTACCTCCTTTTCTTCTCCTCTGCTCATTACCAGGATCTATGAGCTGGGAGTTGATTTGTTTGGTCGTGTTGTGGGTGATTATGATTATGATTTGTTTGTTATTATGAAGCATCCATGACTAAATATCCATCACCCCACGCTCTCATTCCTGCAGATATTATACTGACCTCAGGAAACCGTGTTTGTTTTTCATTTGATTGGCATAGTAGAGTATTTCTTGAACAGAGTGTGGATGCTTAGGAATGTGATGAAGCAGTGGAGGTGAGCAGGTTTAAAGCTGGAATCAAAACTTCATCTTTCACTTTCTCACTAACATTAACATTAACAAGTAAGGAAACTAACATGCACTAAAATAAAAGCTGCATAAAAACCTTTGTGAGATAAATACAGCGAGATAAAGAACCTAAGTAATTGAGATGTTTTAACTCTCTTTAACTTATTGCATTTTGCAGAAAAATGCATTTAATTAGACAAAAAAAATCATGCAAAAATACTGTAGCATATATAGCTTAGTACAGCTTTTTTCTGTTTCACCTGCAGTGCAGACTTTTAACAGTGAATTCTGTTATATGAGTGACGTGAGTTGCTTTGCAAATAACTTTCATGCAAAGGTTGTTGATCTGTTCTGTTTATTCATTACAATATGGCAGGAAGGAATTTGGTTAGCAGCTAATCTATTTTTGCATTAATTGCCTCATTGAGGATCAATCTAAACCCTTTTGTAGAAAATTTGGGGCCATTGATTAAACAAGGCCTGCTAGTCATTTACTTATTATTACACAGAAAATAATTCTTTTGTACAAGCCTCACTGGCTCTGAATTAAGTTATTAGTCCAAAATGAGTCCCCCATAAGCAGCAGTTTTTCTTTTGATAAAGAAACACAATGCTTGCAGATTTATTTATGTATCTGTGTGTGTGTGAATTTGTTTGTAGCATGTGTATAGCCAGCAAGAGGTTCGGGAGTTGCTGGGCCGCTTGGACCTGGGCAACCGCACCAAAATTGGCCAAAAGGGTTCCTCGGGCCTGTCCAGGGCTGTCTCAGCCTTTGGCATTGTGGGTGAGTACTGTCCCTCCACACTCCTCTCTTCCTCACAAGTGCAGCAGCAACCACTGTGGGGTACAATGAGCTGTGCTACAGCTGCACCCATTGACCTGGTTTTGCATATTAAGTGCAGGGGATGGAAAAACATAAAATAAAAGGAACACCTGGCAGTATAATGTAATTTACTACAATATAGCCCCGCTGCCACTCCTACTACCTTTTGTGAAGCTTATAATGTTCCATTTTCTGTTTTCAAATAATGACCAGTGGTGTATTCAGAAGCAGTAAGAACATTTTTAACATTCTTATTACTTTCTATTTCCTTCTGTAGAAAATCAGGTAAAAAGAAACCACAACAGTATTGTTTAAGAGAGTTGCCTATACTTGTAATAGTGATATACAGTGCCTACTGGAACTATTTTGTATTTTACATAAAAAAATAATTTATATCATTTTTACTTGAGCCAGGGTCTACATTACAGGGTCTCTTTCTATCAGTGTCAAAAAAGCCACATTAAAGGTCCAGTGTGTAACTGGATCTGCAATAATCACCTGAAAAAATAGGAATCGTTGTGTTTTCGTTACCTTAGAATGAGCTGTTTTTATCTTCAGACGCAGCAGGTCACCTTTCATGGAGTCCACCATGTTAAACTGCCACATTTCTAAACCCAGAGCTGATAAACCAAACACTTGCCGTAGATTAGGCCTTTGGTGTTTTGTGATCACCATAGTTTCTCCTTCACACACTTCACAGCCCGTTCTCATAGGTCGTCCAAAACAATTGCCAGCGTGTTCAGTTAGTTGTAACTTCACTGCTAGATGCCACTAAATACTATACATTGGTCCTTTCAAAATGATAAAACATAAAAACTTCCAAGGGGGCTGGACACATTTTATAGGCATGTATTTTAATATATAAACTACATTGTATCACTTAAAACTAATCTTTTCACTTTTTTATTTCAACATTTATATTAACCTTGAAAAAACAGGGCAATAAATTTAATTAAAAACAACAAAGAGAGCAATTAAATATAGTTTTTCTTTTGTGAATGGAAAATGAACACACACATCAACAACTTTACAGTACGAGGTTGTTTTAATAGGCAAAAAAGTGCTGTTTTTCTGAAACTTTTTTGTTAACCTAAGACATGGGAATACAGGTCACTCTTCCATTTTTCTCAGGTCTCGGCTTGTTTTTTTGTTCTCTTTCCTGTCCTATATATTTACAGCCAAGGTTTTTGTTTATGTGTATGTTCTTTTTTTTAAATCTTGCGTTGCAAACTTCCAGTGCTTGTTGTTGAAAAATAACTAGCGCCTGCTTATTTCATGTTAAGCACTGCAATGCTCAGTCCTTCAGGTCTGACTCATTTTTCATGTCTTTTGGACACATTCTAATAGACAGCAAGGTTGACAAAGAAACCCTCTGGTGGATCTTAATCACGCGCCCATCCAGTATTCGAATCCTTGAATGGTTTTCCTTGTTTTGTATGAAGGCAGTTGTTGAAAAAACAATTTGCGGACACCTAATACAATCTGCATTCAACATACAATGTGGAACAGTCTGACACTCTCTATAAAGCCTTATTTCTTCCCCAAAATACTAGACCTTGTAAATTAATTAATGACATTTTAAACATTCTTCCCTAGGAAATAGAAAGATGTTTAGTGAGTTTGCAAAGAATACAGTTTTTGGGCATTCTTGTTTGTAAACCCCCCACCACAAAAACCGTTTGCATTTCTGTTTTCAATTTCTTGTGTCCTTTTTTTCCCTGAAGCATTAATTCAATTTATCTTTTAGAGGGCACCTTCAACCTGCCAATGTTATGCCGAAAGACCCATGAAGGTCTCTTCTTTTTTAGGGGCCAGTATTCAGAGAGCAAATTAGAACAGTAGTTCACAGTCCCAGAAAGTAGGAAATAATTAAAGCTTGAGATTGAGTAATCGATATCCCTTTTTGTTATGAAGCGCAGAATCAAATGAAACAAACCTTGACTCAACTAGCCACTTTTTTTTTTTTTTTTAACATGTTATTCCAAAAATGACAAATGAAAAACACGACTTGAAATACTTCGTCATGCTTTAAACTTTAACTTCCAACCATAATGTCACCGTGCTTTACCAGCCAAGCAACCAAAAACCAGAAACAATTACTAAAAACAATAAATGGGAG